GAACCTGGGCAAAGGTCTCCCTGGTCACAGCCAACAGATGGTGTTCTAAAGTCAGCTGCGGATCCAGGAGGACTCCCAAATTGCGAACCCTATCTGAGAGGTGTATGATTTCACCCCCCAGGCTGATGGAATAGCTGGACCATCTTTGGGAGGGAGCATCAATAGCCACTCGGTCTTGTTGGGATTGAGTGCAAGCTTGTTCGTTCCCATCCAGACTCTAACAGCCTCCAAGCACTGGCACATCACTTCTACCTTGGATAAATATTAGCAAATCTGTGCCAGCTCAACAACTTTCTAAAATGCTGTCTTGCTTTGGAGCCTTCAAGGAAACACTATTATAACTTTGATGGACACCAATCAGACAATTTTTATTATAGTCACAGACTATACATGAATCCCAATATTCATTCATCTTGTCATAGATGCCACTTTTTGTTCTGTTTTTTTTTTTTTTTCCAATATAAAATTTTAACTCCCGATGAAACAGTAGTTTCAACCCTCCCACATGCTCCCTTGCTGCAGGTTTTTGATTCTTTAAAAATAGTTTTGCAGCGTTGTAGCACTCTTCACTGAAATGGACTTATCTGTTTCCTTTTTGTCACTAACTAGGCATCTCTGGTTGGTACTATATTTTCCTTTCGGCCCAATTTTATCTTCCGATAATCAGTCACACTTTCTTCACAAATGCTCCGGAACAAGCAAAACCAAGACAACATTTCAATTTTCCAAGTTAATGTTGCGGTCGCTTTGACACAATATTATCTCAAATCAGCAGTTAAATCAACACCAAATGCCCTTTGGACTAATGCTTCTTGTTTGCCTACCTATAAAAAGGCATCATGTGCTTCAAGGTGATTTTGTATGATGATCAGGGAATTGGCTTATGCCACTGCTGGCTTGTGGTTGCTGGGGTAAACTAGGCAAGATTAGAAGTAGGGACAAGGAACAATAATATACGTGACTCAGGCATTATGTCCTAGTTATCTTTCTCTGATACAAAGAATCTGCATGGCAACGGGGAAAAGAGATAAGCAAAAGGTCAGAATTTAATCTGACACAATGCATTCCAAAAGCTGGATGAAATCTTAACAAACATAAAATGGATGAATGTTGCAATTGTTTTACAGAACTGATATGTTCCTCACTGCAGCCACACCTGGCGAAAAATAAGTTTGCAACAGTTATGGAGAAAGGCCCAAAGGTGCAGAAGGTAGCATGGAAAACAGGTTATGTTTAGAATCCAGACAATACCGCGGATGCTGCTGAAGCACTGCTTATATGCCATGTCCTGGATAGAAGGGAGGGAACTGCCAATAATCTTTTCTGCTGTCCTCACCACTCTCTGTACCGCCTTCCTGTCTGAAGCAGTAATGCTTCCAAACCAGACCGTAATGCAATATGACAGGATGCTCTCTATAGAAAGTGGTAAGGACAGTGGGAGGAAGATGTGGTTTTCTCACGTGACACATAAAATGCAGGCACTTCACCAGTGTCTCCCCTTTGAGTGACCAAGCCAGCCTACTCGTTAGCTGCACACCCAGAAACTTGATGCTGTGAACCACCTCCACAGGTGAATCATTAATACGTAGAGCTGTGTGGGTGTGCCTGCCTTTTCTGAAATCAACAACGATCACTTTAGTTTTCCCCTACTTTTAAAATGAGGCTGTTTTTCAATTTGTTACACCAGTTACACAAAAAGACAAGATTTGCCAGTGACTTGTATGCAGCAAGATCCCTAAACTGGATCTACGGCGCCTTCCCTCAACTGCTGTTGAACTTGTGAACGTTGAGCTAAGCTCTTGAGAATCTGCAAAATCTCTTGGTTCCCTACTGGCCACAAACTTCAAATCCAACCCCTCAGATATAACACATAAGCAAAGTATAAGCAAATCAGACAGCCTGGTCCTGCTGGCATGTAGTAAAACTACACAAATGTTGCTTACCACCACAAAGAAGTGCTAAGAAGACACTCACCAGGAAGATGTTTGCTAATAATGTTGGTTGTTTCCGTTGCTCTGGCCATGGAAGAATAGACAATTTTATCAAATTTCAGCCCCAGACTGGCAAGTCTCTTCCCGGTCAGCTCAGCTTGCTCACGGCCTAAAAAGTTAATTTATGGATAAATTCCTAATAAGGCACAGAGGTGTTTTTTTTTCTTTGTTTCGGCACAGTATTTTAAAATTAGAATATGCTGCTTTTCCCAGCATTCCTGTTTGCGTTCTTCATATTATCAAGGATTATTTTGCATCCAGACTGAAATTTGCAATTTGGCAAGAAATGGAAGCAGAGCATTTTTTTTCCTGAATAAGGAAGGTATTTAGACCTCCTTGCCTTGAAAACAGATACCAGTTAATGGACTAAGTATGCTTAAAAAAAGCAGAGTCATTTGACTGAATGACTGAATGGCGACTAAGAAAAATCTACATTTAGGAGATAACAGAAGGCTCTGCATTAATTATACACCAAATAAGCAGCTTCCTCAGCATAAACTGCATCCCAAAGATGCTTTTTCAAGAGGCAACTGAAGAAGCCTCTTGGGTAAGAAGCGGAACGTCTTCAAAAACAGAAAGTCCAGTTGCCTCTTGAAAAAGCACCTTTGGGGCAACCTGACCTGGAGGACTGAGAATTTCTATAGGCATAAATTATATCCCCACCTACTACCCCATCATACCTACCAAGCTTTGTTAAGATTCTGTCCTTATCCTGCTGCCCGTCCAGATTGTACTGAGAATGGCGAATGAGGAATATGTGCCTGGTAGCTTTTGTTTTATAGCGGGCTAAGCGAGAAGACGCCTCCTGTTCACCGGTCTCTTCATTTTTCTTCTTCAAGTTCATGAGGGCCAGCGGTTCCCTCCTAAAAGCAGGAAACTGGAGTTCATATTCTTGCATTAAACACAGCAGACGTGCAAAGCAATGGACTCATGTGCTGCACCTTTGTTTGAGAAAGCCAGCCTTAGCAATTCAGATTGTATAAATATCTCCTTCCTGCCATTTTTTCATCAACTTACGACAGTTTTTTAGTGACCGTTCAAAGTCACAGCACTGAAAAAAAAGTCACGGCACTAATAAGCATTGCAACGTCCCTGTGGCCATGTGATCAAAATTTGGATGCTTGGCAACTGGTTCATATTTATGACGGTTGACATGTCCCGGGGGCTTCGAGGGGAGGAGCTGCCGCCGTCGGGAGCTTAATAAAGCTCCTGCCAGGACTCTGGTTCGTATATCTTATAAGATCTATAGATATCTCCCCTTTCTGGCAGAAAGGGGCAGGGAGAAGGTCAGTCGTTAGGATCTCTTTGTAATTCATAGCTTTTCTTTTTGTGAATGGAGAAGAGCTTCACCATTAGCTGAGCCTTTACTCCGGCCAGTTTTCCGCGCTGCCTTTTTTGCAGCCCTAGGCAGATTGCCCCCCCCCCCCCCAGGACAAAGCTAAGCTATTTAAAAGTCAATCCGGGCGGGGACCATTCCTGAGGAATTTCTATTATTACTAGCTAAAATACCAGCTTCAATTTCGCAAAAGGCTCCCTTCCTTTTTTTAGCTGCGTCACAAGATGGCGATCTCGTAGTTTTTGTGTTTGATGTGACGTACTTAGCCAGCCCTACCCTCCTGAAGGCTTCTCCGTACTAATTGCTAAAAGATTAACTGAGGGGAGCAGAGACTTTGATTTTTGGCTCGCTTGATTGCTTGTCTTTTATTT